GGGAATGGGAATGGGGAATGGGAATGGGGAATGGGAATGGGAAATGGGGAATGGGGAATGGGGAATGGGGAATGGGAATGGGGAATGGGAATGGGGAATGGGGAATGGGAATGGGGAATGGGGAATGGGAATGGGGAATGGAATTGGGAATGGGAATGGGGAATGGGAATGGGGACGGGGACAGATGGAGACGGGGATGGTGATGGGAATGGGAAAGGGAAACAAGAACCGGGACGGGAATGCGGATGAGAACGGCAGTGGGAACCAGGATGGATGGGAATGGGAGCAGTGACAGGAATGGGAAAGGGAGCAGGGACAGGAATGCAGAAGGGAACAGGGGTGGGAACGGGGATGGATGGGAGTGGAGATGGGAACAGGCAGGAGTGGGACAGTTGGCATGTCCCGGGATGGATCCGAGGATGTTCCAGAGTGGACCCAGGGCTAGAAGCAAGGCTGGGAATAGCTGGGATGTCCTGGTGTGGTCCCAGGGGCCATCCCCAGGCTCAGGGATAGCCGTGACCCTCTGTAAGCCCTGTGATAGCCTCAGGTGGCACAGGAGCAGCCCTGGGACATTGGGAAGGTTCCAGAAGCTTCGTCCTGCTGGACACGAAGGAGTGGTGGGAGCAGGGGGTGGCTCAGGGGTCTCTCACCAACTCCACCCGTTGATGACCGTGGTACCTGGGCTGTCCCAGCAGGAATTCCCATTCCTCCAACCCACCCAAAGCAAAACCACAGTGGTGTCACCCTGCTTAAATACCCAAATCTTTGGGGTTCAGCCCTAACAGTTTAAAAACCAAGGCATTGCAGCCCATCCTGAGCAAAGGCAGCAGCATGGGAGCACAAGACAGCGTTTAACCTCCCTGTGACATTATTCAGTGAGCACTGAATCAGATAAACCCCAAATTGTGATGAAAACACCTTTTTAAAATGCCACATTACACACAAGATCACACAGGGACCTAAAACAACTCTTTTGGGAGAGTTTCTTTGTGCTGGGAAAGCTGCAGCTGGGAGGGAGGTTGAGTCCTCCTGATCCCCCCGGCTACAAATGATCCCTGGGTGAGTTTTCCTTCTGGGAACACCCCACACAACACCAACCTCTTCCATCTCTCCCCATTAATCCCTTTCTAAACCCACTCCTAATTAAGCAGCTGCTGCTCCCACTAACAGAGCCCATCGAAGCAATAAATACCCACCATAAACTTGGGGGTCTCCACCCTGCGGGGTGGGAGGATCAAGGTGAACCTGTGCACTAAAAATAAATAAAATAAGTGGGGAAATAGTCTCCTATCAGCTCACCCCAGCCCAGGATGTTTAGCAAGGCTGCAGATCAAAGCACAGCGGGTATTTACACTCCAGTAGGGCCCTGAGCGAACAGATGGGTGGGTGATACCTGGCTCTCCTTGTTCCATGGAAGGCTGAAAAGTTCCACATTTCCAATGGGATAATAACTTCCACGGGTAGTTTTTAAGCCCTCGAGTCTGTGGGTTAGTTAAAGACAGGGTTTAGCTTTGTGTGGGAACTCCCCTGAGTGGATCCTCCACAGAGAGGGAGGGCTTAAAATGAGGGGATTTGGTTAAAACCATGTGTGGATCCCAAATCCACATGATCCCAGCCCTCTGCTCTCCATTTGTGTCTCTGGACAATGCTTTTCATACAGATTTATCCAAACTCTACAGCAAAACCCAATTTTTCCCCCTAAATCCATGTGCCTGCAATGCCAAAGCAGGAGCAGCACAGACAAGAACTACCACAGTGGGGGGAACCTCTTGCAATGGTTTTGTGGAGGAGATGGGAAAGGGATTAATTAGTTAATTATTAGGGATGCCCTGGTTTTAAAAGTCAGGTGGGGAAAGCAGGGGTTGGGGCTGTCACTGTGGTGTTTTGGAGAGGTTCCTTGTGCAGATGGTGGGTGGGGAGGCAGGTGAGATGTAACTCCCCATCCTTAACAGGCTTGGATGGGGTTTTATTCCACTTGCAGCAGGAAATAAAAGGTTAGAGGGAAAGAAAACCCTGGGACAGAGCAGCTGAGGTGTGACATCCCTTCCAGTGTCAGCTTTGGCGGCTCTCAGGAATTTCAACAAAGGTTTCTCCTCTTGCCTCCACACCAGTCAGTCATTTCTTCACAATTCCCAACCCCAAATTCCCTTCTCTGGGAGCATGGTTAATCCCTGAGGGTGGGGCCCTGCCTACCTCCTGATACCTGCATTTGTGTCTGTGTTTGTTCTTGGCCCCACGGTTTCAAAGAAGCAGCTTTTGTTGCTTATCTCCTCTGATTTTGTGTCTCCCACGTGTCTCTGTATCATGTTTGGGTTATTGTAATTAACTAAACTCTATTCCCAAAGCATTCCAAGCCCTTTCATGGCTTTTCCAGCCTTTGCTGCTGGCAGTTTAATTTCACAGACCCCTTTCCCCCTGGGCAGGACAGGAAAACTGCAGACCCAGGAAATGCAATCCTGCTGTTTGCTGTTCTCCCTTGCAATTTGGCACAGCTGGATTTGGATGCAGCCATGGATTTGGGGGGACAGCTGCAAGGAAGGAGCCAAGGGAAATCATCTTTGAGGCTTCAGAGAGTGAGCTGGCAAAACTGAGGAAACATTGAGCCCAAAGTGCTGCCTCTACACCTGCAACGAGGATTTGACACCCTCTGAGGTGCCATCCTGGGTGAAAATCACTTTTATCCCATTTCTCCAGCCACCAAATCCCATGGATTTTAAAACCCTGGCCATGGCCAAGGCCTTGACTGGCCTCATGCAGGGATAGAGCCGGCCTCGTGCCCAGTGAGATGATGGAGGAATGGATGATGGAGACGATGCTGTGAGAAAACCCGTGTTTTCTGGGGGAAAAGGATGGGAATTGTCTCCCTGTTCAGGCAATCCTGGTTTAGGGTGACTGACAGCATCAGCACAGATAGAGGAGGGGGTGGGCCTGGCAGGGATATAAACCCACCCCGCTGAGCCGGCAGCGTTGGAGCTGCAGGTCCGGGTGGGGTAAGGAGAGGGGATTTCACTGCCCTGCTGCTCCCCAGGGCACGGGGGGAGGGCTGCAGGTCCCAGGCAGGACAAACCACCCTGCCCCACATCCCCAAACTGGGGTACAGAACCTTGGGGGGGTTCACTGGGTGATGCCTTGCAGAGCTGTGTGCTCACAGTGACACGAATGTCACCCGAGGCACTGCCCTGGCTCCCTGTCCCTGCTGGGGCACTGCAGGAGCTCCTGGATCATCACCCATCCTTGTTCCCTCTCCAGGGCAGCCCCAGGATGAGGAATCTCCTCCTCGCCGTGCTCCTGGCTTGTGGTAAGTGTCCTGCTGTCCCCGGCCAGGAATCCACCTACAAACCCTGAGTCTCTGTGCACGATTCAGGTTTTGGTTTAAACCTGGCAGCTTCTCTCCAGTGCTTTGTGTAGAACTGCTGCAGTCCTGGAGGGCTCGGTGATGGGGAGGCTTTGGAATGCTGAGATCCATATTTATTTTGGGAGGCTCTGGAGCCCTGTTGTCACCTTTCCTACCTGTGCCAAGCCCATGGCTGATCCTAGTTGGTGATGGGTGATTGCAGTTTGCAAAATACCTTGTGTAAAAATATCTTTATTTTTACAGCCAGAGGCTGTAAAAGCCAGGCTGAAAAATCCATCCTTCCCCTGGCACAGGGTGCCCAGAGAAGCTGTGGCTGCCCAAATCCTGGAAGTGTCCAAGGCCAAGTTGTGTCTTGGAGCAACCTGAGATAGTGGAAGGTGTCACCCATGGCAGGAGGTGGAACAAGACAGGCTTTGAGCTTCCTTCCAGCCCAAACCATCCCATGATTCTGTAATTCCATAATTCTGGAGGTTCAAATCCTGCAAGTGCAGGTTTCCAGCAATGCCAGACCAGTTTAATGCCCCTGCCTGGTGCAAGGTTCGGGGGATACCCCCTGGCTCTGGTCCTGAGCCCATCCTGTGCCCCCCAGGGCTGCTCCCGGCTGGCACCAGCGTCCTGGAGCTGGAGAGGATGATCAGGGTGGCCACGGGCAGGAGTGCCCTGCTGTCCTACAGCTGGTACGGCTGTTTCTGCGGCATCGGGGGCTCCGGGACCCCCGTGGATCCCACTGACAGGTGAGACCCCGCAGCAGTAAAGCCCCTCACTGCCTGCCTTGCAGCGCTGGGGGGCTTTGTACCCCTCCCCAGCTGTTGTCTCGCTCCCTCCTCTTCCCTTAAATTTGAGGCTGGACCTTCCCCTGTGCTCCGGCTGTGGTGAGGGAGGGTTTGGGGCCGAGGTTTGACGTGGTGTCCCCGCAGGTGCTGCCAAGCCCACGATTGCTGCTACAGGAGGCTGAGGGAGGGCAGGTGCAGCCCCCTGCTCACCCCCTACAGCTTCACCTCCTCCAACGGGAGCATCACCTGCAGTGAGTACCGAGAGGGCAGGGTGAGCATCCCCGAGACAGGGGAGCATCCCCCGGGTGAATCCCGGGTGAATCCCGGGTGAATCCAGGGTGAATCTCCTGAGCATCCCCCGGGTGAATCCCGGCTGAATCCCGGGTGAATCCAGGGTGAATCTCCTGAGCATCCCCCGGGTGAATCCCGGGTGAATCCCGGGTGAATCCCGGGTGAATCTCCTGAGCATCCCCCGGGTGAATCCCGGGTGAATCTCCTGAGCATCCCCCGGGTGAATCCCGGGTGAATCCCGGGTGAATCTCCTGAGCATCCCCTGGGTGAATCTCCTGAGCGTCCCCTGAGTAAATCCTGGGTGAATCTCCTGAGCATCCCCTGGGTAAATCCTGAGTAAATCCCGGGTGAATCTCCTGAGCATCCCCATGGTAAATCCTGGGTAAATCCTGGGTGAATCCTGGGTGAATCTCCTGAGCATCCCCATGGTAAATCCTGGGTGAATCCTGGGTGAATCCTGGGTGAATCTCCTGAGCATCCCCTGGGTAAATCCTGAGTAAATCCTGGGTGAATCCTGGGTGAATCTCCTGAGCATCCCCTGAGTAAATCCTGGGTAAATCTCCTGAGCATCCCCATGGTAAATCCTGGGTGAATCCCGGCTAAATCTCCTGAGCATCCCCTGAGTAAATCCTGGGTAAATCTCCTGAGCATCCCCATGGTAAATCCTGGGTGAATCCCAGGTAAATCTCCTGAGCATCCCCTGAGTAAATCCTGAGTAAATCCTGGGTGAATCCTGGGTGAATCTCCTGAGCATCCCCATGGTAAATCCTGGGTGAATCCCGGCTAAATCTCCTGAGCATCCCCCAGATGAATCCCGGGTGAATCCCGGGTGATTGTCCTGAAAATCCCCTGGGTGAATCCCGGGTGAATCTCCTGAGCATCCCCTGGGTGAATCCCGGGTGAATCCCGGGTGAATCCAGGGTGAATCCCGGGTGAATCTCCTGAGCGTCCCCTGGGTAAATCCTGAGTAAATCCCGGGTGAATCTTCTGAGCATCCCCCGGGTGAATCCCGGGTGAATCCTGGATGAATTCTGGGTGAGTCTCCTGAGCATCCCCTGAATAAATCCTGGGTGAATCTCCTGAGCATCCCCATGGTAAATCCTGGGTAAATCCTGGGTGAATCCTGTGTGAATCTCCTGAGCATCCCCCAGATGAATCCCGGGTGAATCCCGGGTGATTCTCCTGAAAATTCCCTGGGTGAATCCCGGGTGAATCCCGGGTGAATCTCCTGCACATCCCCCGGGTGAATCCCGGGTGAATCTCCTGAGCATCCCCCGGGTGAATCCAGCCCCATTCCCGAGCGGCTGGGATAATGAAATGCGCACTGAGGTTGGGGAAGGGGAGCACCAGGACACGCTGCTCTCTGTCCTTCCCCCATGGCTCCGGGCAGGAAAGGCACGGCAGGGCTCCGTGTTTTCCCCCCGCAGGTGATGAGCAGAGCTGGTGCGAGAGAGAGACCTGTGTGTGTGACAGCACCGTGGCCTCGTGCTTCGCCAGCACCCTGCACTCCTACAACAATTCCTACCGCTTCTACTTCAAACTCAAATGCCAAGGAAGTAAACTCCAGTGCTGAGGAGGGGGAATCTGCACACAGAATTCCAGATTTGGGCTGGTTTTCCCCAGAAAATGGGGCTCAGAAAAGGTAGAGCTGCATGTGAGGTGCTGCTCAGAACGAGCACCACAGATGGAGACCCACCAGTTCCTGGAAAGCCACAGCAGCTTCCTCTTTTTGTCCCTTCCTCCTCTCTTGATTTCATTTCCCAGCAGATAATAATGATACAATAAAAGGGATGTAAATTGGTTCTCTATGGTGGTTTTTTTTCTGTAAGGGATGTTGAGATTGAGGCACTGCAACAGTGGCTGACGAGTTTGGGGAGAACTTCTGCATCCCACACCTCAGCCACGTCATTTGCCTGACCCTCCAACATTTTCCATGGTCCCAACAGGGCTGTAATTCACATTTCTATCCCCATGTGGAGCAATGAGTTTGGGGAACAGGATGCCCAGAGAAGCTGTGGTTGCCCTGGATCCCTGGCAGTGCCCAAGGCCAGGTTGGATGGGGCTTAGAGCAACCTGGGACAGTGGAAGGTGTCCTTGCTATGGCAGGGAGTGGAACAAGATGAGTTTTAAAGTCCCTTCCAGCCCAAACCCATCTGGGATTCTGGCATTCTATGATTTTCTAATCCACATCCAAGCAGCTTCGTGAGGAACACAACAAAACAGTCCCAGAAATACAGTAAGAGGCTTCACATCACAGCGATTTTTAAGTTGTATATCATTTTTCTGTTCCTCTTTTCCCGAGTCAGGACAACCTGAACCACAGCTCAGCACAGGGAGAAGCTCACAGGACTATCCCCAGGATCTCCTGGGGTGTTTTGGCTTCTGAGGATTTTACTAGGAATGACACAACTGCTCTTTTACATCTCTTTCCTGCTATAAACAATTCCATACAAAGCCTTTCATGGAAATAAATGTTTTTAATGCAAACACACTAAAAGCAGGGAAACAGTGCCAGTACAGAAACTGATTGGAAATGATTAATGGGGCAGTAATTAGCCTGAGGAGCATTAAGAGGCTGTGAGCAATTCAGATAAGCACAAGGCACGTGCCAGCCAGGGAGCATCACTCGTGACAGCAGAGACAAAGCACAGCCAGGATCAGGGCTTGGCTGAAAACTTTGTCAGTGGGGAGAACAACAAAAATCTATTTTTCCATCACAAAAAACACAGACAAATCACCTTCCTTCCTTAACATCCCTCCCAAACCAAATCAGTCTGGGATTCCATGACTCTTGGAAATGAGGGTTAAAGAATAATCATCCACAGAGGAAGGAAGATTTCAAAGCCTTGACATTAGGCAGGTGCTAATTTAGGAGGGCAGTTAATGACTGAATGGTTTCTCATGAAGAGTGTAATGAGGAGGTGGAAAAGTCACAAGGAGAGAAATAAAGGCAAGTTCCACTTTCTCATCTCAGAATATTAATTTTGCTTCTGTTTTCTCATGGTGAGTGAGGGTGTAATCATCTGGTGTCTGCCCAACCTCCTGTCTCTGGGAACTGCACATTTAGAGATGCTTTCAGTGTTGCCCATACTTTCCCCAAAGAAGTGATAACTCTCCTTGAACCTCCTTGAAAGCCCCAAACTTGCTGTGTCCATGCCCAGCCTGAACCAGAGCTGTTTTTTTCCCCCCTGATACAGCTCCTTGGCTCTGGGAAGGGCAGAAGAAAAGGCCCCTGGGCATCTCAGAGAGTGTTTGCTTCCTCCTTGGGCTGGAAGTGATGCTGCTTTTCCACCTCATCCCACCCCACTCGTGGGCTACGGGGCCTTAGGGGATTTCTGGCATTCCTCAGAAGGGGAAGGATGGCATCTTCCCCTCTGCAGGGAAGCCCAGTCAGCGAGATTTGGGTCAAAGGAACCCCAGGCAGATGGGAGCAAACTATATAAAGCAAACCCAGTTGCTGCAGGGCACTGCAAGCCAGCAGGGCTTTGCCAAGGTAAGTGGGGATGGAGGATTGCTTTTCCCTCTCCTCCTTTCAGCAGGAGCTGTGGTGCAGGTGCCACGCTGGGGAAGCAGGATTGAAGGAGATGCTGCCTGAGATGCCAGCCCAGGAGATGCTCCCAGTCCCTGGAGAGAGGGAGAACCTCTGCTCCTGGATGATGAGGAAAGGAAGAAGAAGGTGGTTGGTAAAACAGAGAATTTGGTTTCCTCCCCCAGAGCTGTCAGAAGGATGAAGTCTGTCCTCGGCCTCTCTGTGCTGTTTGTGTGGGGTAAGTGTCCTCTCTCAGGCCCAAGGCTCTCTGTGCAGTCACAACCACTGAAATTAGGACCAGGCTGGTGATTTCTTCACCTCTCCCCATCACCAGCTCTCCCAGACATGCAACAACTCTCCTGTGCCAAGCTGGGAACACATTTCCTCTCCATTGCATTTCTAATTCACCGCCACCCTGGTGCCAGTCTGGAGGGATGGAGCTGCTGTTTGGGGCAGGGAATCAACGTGATCTCCCTGATTTTCCCCTTCCAGGCTTGTCCCCAGCCCAGGGGAGCCTCTTGCAGCTGCACCAGATGATCTCAAAAGCGACAGGGAAAAACGCTCTTCTGCATTACGGCTTCTACGGCTGCTACTGCGGCCTGGGGGGCAAGGGGCAGCCCAAGGATGCCACAGACAGGTGAGAACCCGCTTTAAACCTCACTGCCCAGACATATCCTTGAATATTTTTAATTCTGTGGCGTGAGGGGCAGAAAATTGCACCCCCTCAAGCTTAGATGTCCTGTGCAGATGCTGCCAGCTGCACGATACTTGCTACCAAAACCTCCTGGAGTACCGCTGCAACGCCAAGACACGGCTCTACCGCTACAGCTGGCACCATGGCAGGCTGTCCTGCAGTGAGTAGGGTCCTGGAAGAGGGGGTGTCACCCCCCTAAAGCTGGGGCTGACCCTGGGATCCCCTCTGTGCAGGACCTGGCTCTCGGTGCTCCTACTTGTCCTGTGAGTGTGACCGCAGCCTGGCGCTGTGCCTGAGGAGAAACGTCAGCAGCTACAGGAAAGGCTATCAATTCTACCCCCAAACCTGGTGCTGCTGATGGGAGCTGGGATGTGGGGATGGGGATCATCCCTGTGCTGCCCGCGGCAGAGCTGCTAAATTAAAATTTAAAACATTTAAAATTAAATTAAATCGAATTAAATGTAAATTAAATCAACGCGGAAATAAACAAAAATAAAATAAAGTGTTCGTGTTCATCGTCCCCGGTCCTCTGAGAGCTGCTGCTGCTGCTGGGCAGGGAGAGAAATGCCTGTAAATAATCAACATCTTCCCAAAACTTTGCGAGAAGTCGGTCTCGGCCCCTGCGTCACTCGAGGCTCCACGGGGAGAGGGGAGGAAGGGGCGTAGCATTCCCTGGGTTTGGGACAGACGAATCATTTCGGAGCTTCCAGTTGGAGCTGGGCTGGACACCGAGGGCAGGATCTCTGCGGGAGGACAGGCTGACAGCGAGGAAGATTCCCTGGTGAGCTGCTGGGGAAGGAAAAATCCAGGGGGATGTTGGAAGAAGGCAGAGGGAGCGGCAGGTTCCTGCAGGAAAAGTGTGGGGAGGGGTGCTCTGGGTGCCAAAAAGCGGTGGGACAGGAGCAGGGGGATGCTGGAGGGGTGGGGCATGCTCCGGTGGTGGGGGATGCTCAGGTGCTGGGGGATGCTGGAGAGGTGGGGGATGCTGGAGAGGTGGGGGATGCT